ACTGGGCCACAGAAAACGGGTTTGGGGGCCACATAACGGGACGGACCACAGTAACGGGTGTCTGGGCTACAATAACAGGTGCCCTGTAATACAGTAACAGGTGTCTGGGACACAGTAACAGATCTGGACCACAGAAACAGGTGTTTGGGCTACCGTAACAATGTGCCTGAGCCACAGATAACAGGTGTCTGGGCCACAGAAACAGGTGTCTGGGCCACAGTAACAGTGTCTGGGCCACAGTAACAGGTGTCTGGGCCACAATAACAGGTGTCTGGGCCATAATAAAACCCGAAGGGTCATGTAAATAGAGTAAATGTCACATACATTAAGTAATTGTTTTAAAAATAATAATTATCGCAGGTTTAATATAAAAGTTCTTGTGTTTGTGACCTAACAGTAAAGTCTGAAATATATTATACTATTATTATTATTATTATTATTATTGTTGTTATTATTATTGTTGTTGTTGGTGTTGTTGTTGTTGTTGTTGTTGATGTTGTTGTTGTTGTTGTTGTTTTTGTTGTTATTATATTATTATTATTATTATTATTATATTATTATTATTATTATTATTACTATTATTATTATTATTATTTATTATCTACAAGCTCCTTGAACCTCGTAGGAATAGGGCGACTGCCGCCCCATGGGTATGGAGTGACTACCACCCACATGATTCAAATTCAATTCAAATTCAAAGTTTATTCTCTATAAGGATTACAATGCTGAGTTTACAGAAATTTGGTTATTGTTTGGTTTACATGTAGTAAAATAGTGATTACAGAGTGTACCACTAGAACGCTTAGCATGGCTAGGCATTTCGGCAGACTTACTTTTATTCTTAATTGTAAAATATTACAAATTATGAGGTAAGTTGGTATTATGGCTAAGTGACTAAATACCAGTTTGTGAGTTTAGCAATGTAAATGCTTTTGTTTTGGCACAGTACATAGTTTCAGTATTGGAGTATCACAGGATTCATTATTTTAATATTGAGATTAATATTTCTGTTTATGGTCAAATGAGTGAGTGAGTGTAAGTGTTAACCACCAAGTGGTATTCGTGTAGTTAGTTGACGGGGTGTATCAGGGAGATAAGATGTTTTCTAATGGTAGTTTTGAAGGTGATGAATGTGTCTGCAGTTCTAGAGTTCTCAGGTAGGGTATTCCAGATTTTAGGGCCTTTGACATACATTGAATTTTTGTAAAGGTTTAGTCGGACACGGGGAATGTCATAGAGATGTTTGTGTCTGGTGTTATGCCTGTGGGTTCTGTCACAAACACCAACGTCAAAGACCTGGGAGTGATTATGTCGGAGGATCTCATCTTCAAGGACCATAACATTGTATCAATCGCATCTGCTAGAAAAATGACAGGATGGATAATGAGAAACCTTCAAAACTAGGGAGGCCAAGCCCATGATGACACTCTTCAGGTCACTTGTTCTATCTAGGCTGGAATATTGCTGCACTCTAACAGCACCTTTCAAGGCAGGTGAAATTGCCGACCTAGAAAATGTACAGAGAACTTTCACGGCGCGCATAACGGAGATAAAACACCTCAATTACTGGGAGCGCTTGAGGTTTCTAAACCTGTATTCCCTGGAACGCAGGAGGAGAGATACATGATTATATACACCTGGAAAATCCTAGAGGGACTAGTACCGAACTTGCACACGAAAATCACACTCACTACGAAAGCAAAGACTTGGCAGACGATGCACACCATCCCCCAATGAAAAGCAGGGGTGTCACTAGCAACGTTAAGAGACCATACAATAAATGTCAGGGGCCCGAGACTTTCAACTGCCTCCCAGCACACATAAGGGGGATTACCAACAGACCCCTGCAGTCTTCAAGCTGGCACTGGACAAGCACCTAAAGTCAGTCCCTGATCAGCCGGGCTGTGGGTCGTACGTTGGTTTGCGTGCAGCCAGCAGCAACAGCCTGGTTGATCAGGGGCTGATCCACCAGGAGGCCTGGTCACCAGACCGGGCCGCGGGGGCGTTGACCCCCGAAACTCTCTCCAGGTAAACTCCAGGTAAACAACTATCAAGAAAGCGTTTTAGGTCAAGGTTGATATTAGAGTTTAAGGGTATAAAGTTTATGGGTATAAAGTGACTACCACCCCATGGGCATGGGGTTACTACCACCCACAGGATCGGTATGGGGTGACTACCACCCACAGGATGGGTATAAAGTGATTACTACCCCATGGGCATGGGGTGACTACCACCCACAGGATGGGTATAAAGTGATTACTACCCCATGGGCATGGGTGACTACCACTCCATGGGCATGGGACCCAACAAAGCTATCAGAGTAAAAGTTCAAACCTCACTAAGTGTTTACAGGAAAACTGTAAGACTGCGCGCAGCAAATGTCGCAGTAGCGTCCTTAATAATGGTAGACCTCGCTGCGAGAGGCTTCTTGTTTTTTTGTGGGCGAGTGCATGAGAGTGTACAAAACTAGGTGTAAGGCAGGTGGCCGGGTAGACCAGTGCTAGCCACAGAGCTGGCAGCAGGTGCACTCCACTCAACATGATGTTCAAGGTAGGAACCTAGCTAGCCAGACGTGTGTTGTACCAGAGATACAGTCTGCAGACTTGTGTTGTACCATAGATACAGTCTCTAGACTTGTGTTGTACCATAGATACGGTCTCCAGACTTGTGTTGTACCAGAGATACGGTCTCCAGACTTGTGTTGTACCAGAGATACAGTCTCAAGACTTGTGTTGTACCAGAGATACAGTCTCCAGACTTGTGTTGTACCAGAGATACGGTCTCCAGACTTGTGTTGTACCATAGATACAGTCTCCAGACTTGTGTTGTACCAGAGATACAGTCTCCAGACTTAACATGTACTGTACCAGAGATACAATCTCCAGACTTAACATGTACTGTACCAGAGATACAATCTCCAGACTTAACATGTACTGTACCAGAGATACAGTCTCCAGGCTTGTGTTGTACCAGAGATACAGTCTCCAGACTTGTGATGTCCCACAGATGCAGTATCAAGACTTGACTTGTGTTGCTCCAGAGATAGTCTTCAGACTTAACATGTATTGTACCAGAGATACAGTCTCCAGACTTAACATGTATTTAACCAGAGATACAGTCTCAAGATTTAACTTGTGTTGTTCCACAGATAAAGTTTCAAGACTTAACTTGTGTTGTACCAGAGACACAGTCTCAAGACTTAACTTGTGTTGTACCAGAGATACATTCTCAAGACTTAACTTGTGTTGTATCACAGATAAAGTCTCAAGATTTAACTTGTGTTGTAATACATATACAGTCTTCAGACTTAACTTGTGTTGTGCCAGAGATACAGTCTTTAAACTAAACTTGTGTTGTACCAGGGATGCAATCTCAAGACTTAACTTGTGTTGTACCAGGGACACAGACTGAAGACTTATGTTGTACAAGAGATACTGTCCTCAGACTTAACCTGTGTTTTACCAGGGATACTGTCTCAATACTTAACTTGTGTTATACCAGAAATGCAGTCTCAAGACTTAACATGTATTGTACCAGAGATACAATCTCCAGACTTGTGTTGTACCAGGGATACGGTCTCCAGACTTGTGTTGTACCATAGATACAGTCTCCAGACTTGTGTTGTACCAGAGATACAGTCACCAGGCTTGTGTTGTACCAGAGATACGGTCTCCAGACTTGTGTTGTACCAGAGATACGGTCTCCAGACTTGCGTAGTATCAGAGATTCAGTCTCAAGACTTGTGTTGTACCACAGATACAGTCTCCAGACTTGTGTTGTACCAGAGATACAGTCTCAATACTTGTGTTGTACCAGAGATACGGTCTCCAGACTTGTGTTGTACCAGAGATACGGTCTCCAGACTTGTGTTGTACCAGAGATACAGTCTCAAGAATTGTGTTGTACCACAGATACAGTCTCCAGACTTGCGTTGTACCAGAGATACAGTCTCAAGACTTGTGTTGTACCAGAGATACAGTCTCAAGACTTGTGTTGTACCACAGATACAGTCTCCAGACATGTGTTGCACCAGAGATAGTCTCCAGACTTGTGTTGTACCAGGGATACAGTCTCAAGACATGTGTTGTACCAGAGATACAGAGATACGTTCTCCAGACTTGTGTTGTACCAGAGATACAGTCTCAAGACTTGTGTTGTACCAGAGATACAGTCTCCAGACTTAACATGTATTGTACCAGAGATACAGTCTCCAGACTTGTGTTGTACCAGAGATACAGTCTCCAGACTTAACATGTACTGTACCAGAGATACAATCTCCAGACTTAACATGTACTGTACCAGAGATACAATCTCCAGACTTAACATGTACTGTACCAGAGATACAATCTCCAGACTTAACATATACTGTACCAGAGATACAGTCTCCAGGCTTGTGTTGCTCCAGAGATACAGTCTTCAGACTTAACATGTATTGTACCAGAGATACAGTCTCCAGACTTAACATGTATTTTACCAGAGATACAGTCTCAAGATTTAACTTGTGTTGTTCCACAGATAAAGTTTCAAGACTTAACTTGTGTTGTACCAGAGACACAGTCTCAAGACTTAACTTGTGTTGTACCAGAGATACATTCTCAAGACTTAACTTGTGTTGTACCACAGATAAAGTCTCAAGATTTAACTTGTGTTGTAATACAGATACAGTCTTCAGACTTAACTTGTTTTGTGCCAGAGATACAGTCTTTAAACTTAACTTGTGTTGTACCAGGGATGCAATCTCAAGACTTAACTTGTGTTATACCAGAAATGCAGTCTCAAGACTTAACATGTATTGTACCAGAGATACAGTCTCCAGACTTGTGTTGTACCAGGGTTACGGTCTCCAGACTTGTGTTGTACCATAGATACAGTCTCCAGACTTGTGTTGTACCAGAGATACAGTCACCAGGCTTGTGTTGTACCAGAGATACAGTCTCCAGACTTGTGTTGTACCAGGGATACGGTCTCCAGACTTGTGTTGTACCATAGATACAGTCTCCAGACTTGTGTTGTACCAGAAATACAGTCACCAGGCTTGTGTTGTACCAGAGATACAGTCTCCAGACTTGTGTTGTACCAGGGATACGGTCTCCAGACTTGTGTTGTACCATAGATACAGTCTCCAGACTTGTGTTGTACCAGAGATACAGTCACCAGGCTTGTGTTGTACCAGAGATACAGTCTCCAGACTTGTGTTGTACCAGGGATACGGTCTCCAGACTTGTGTTGTACCATAGATACAGTCTCCAGACTTGTGTTGTACCAGAAATACAGTCACCAGGCTTGTGTTGTACCAGAGATACAGTCTCCAGACTTGTGTTGTACCAGGGATACGGTCTCCAGACTTGTGTTGTACCATAGATACAGTCTCCAGATTTGTGTTGTACCAGAGATACAATCACCAGGCTTGTGTTGTACCAGAGATACAGTCTCCAGACTTGCGTTGTACCAGAGATTCAGTCTCAAGACTTGTGTTGTACCACAGATACAGTCTCCAGACTTGTGTTGTACCAGAGATACAGTCTCAAGACTTGTGTTGTACCAGAGATACGGTCTCCAGACTTGTGTTGTACCATAGATACAGTCTCCAGACTTGTGTTGTACCAGAGATACAGTCACCAGGCTTGTGTTGTACCAGAGATACAGTCTCCAGACTTGTGTTGTACCAGGGATACGGTCTCCAGACTTGTGTTGTACCATAGATACAGTCTCCAGACTTGTGTTTGTACCAGAAATACAGTCACCAGGCTTGTGTTGCACCAGAGATACAGTCTCCAGACTTGTGTTGTACCAGGGATACGGTCTCCAGACTTGTGTTGTACCAGAGATACGGTCTCCAGACTTGCGTTGTACCAGAGATTCAGTCTCAAGACTTGTGTTGTACCACAGATACAGTCTCCAGACTTGTGTTGTACCAGAGATACAGTCTCAAGACTTGGTTGTACCAGGGATACGTTCTCCAGACTTGTGTTGTACCATAGATACAGTCTCCAGACTTGTGTTGTACCAGAGATACAGTCACCAGGCTTGTGTTGTACCAGAGATACAGTCTCCAGACTTGTGTTGTACCAGGGATACGGTCTCCAGACTTGTGTTGTACCATAGATACAGTCTCCAGACTTGTGTTGTACCAGAGATACAATCACCAGGCTTGTGTTGTACCACAGATACAGTCTCCAGACTTGTGTTGTACCTGAGATACAGTCTCAAGACTTGTGTTGTACCAGAGATACGGTCTCCAGACTTGTGTTGTACCAGAGATACGGTCTCCAGACTTGTGTTGTACCAGAGATACAGTCTCAAGACTTGTGTTGTACCACAGATACAGTTTCCAGACTTGTGTTGTACCAGAGATACAGTCTCAAGACTTGTGTTGTACCACAGATACAGTCTCCAGACATGTGTTGCACCAGAGATAGTCTCCAGACTTGTGTTGTACCAAGGATACAGTCTCAAGACATGTGTTGTGCCAGAGATACAGAGATACGTTCTCCAGACTTGTGTTGTACCAGAGATACAGTCTCAAGACTTGTGTTGTACCACAGATACAGTCTCCAGACTTGTGTTGTACCAGAGATACAGTCTCCAGACTTAACATGTATTGTACCAGAGATACAGTCTCCAGACTTGTGTTGTACCAGAGATACAGTCTCCAGACTTAACATGTACTGTACCAGAGATACAATCTCCAGACTTAACATGTACTGTACCAGAGATACAGTCTCCAGGCTTGTGTTGTACCAGAGATACAGTCTCCAGACTTGTGATGTCCCACAGATGCAGTATCAAGACTTGACTTCTGTTGCTCTAGAGATACAGTCTTCAGACTTAACATGTATTGTACCAGAGATACAGTCTCCAGATTTAACATGTATTTTACCAGAGATACAGTCTCAAGATTTAACTTGTGTTGTTCCACAGATAAAGTCTCAAGACTTAACTTGTGTTGTACCAGAGACACAGTCTCAAGACTTAACTTGTGTTGTACCAGAGATACGTTCTCAAGACTTAACTTGTGTTGTATCACAGTAAAGTCTCAAGATTTAACTTGTGTTGTAATACAGATACAATCTTCAGACTTAACTTGTGTTGTGCCAGAGATACAGTCTTTAAACTAAACTTGTGTTGTACCAGGGACACAGACTGAAGACTTATGTTGTACAAGAGATACTGTCCTCAGACTTAACCTGTGTTTTAACAGGGATACTGTCTCAATACTTAACTTGTGTTATACCAGAAATGCAGTCTCAAGACTTAACATGTATTGTACCAGAGATACAATCTCCAGACTTAACATGTACTGTACCAGAGATACAGTCTCCAGACTTGTGTTGTACCAGAGATGCAGTCTCCAGACTTGTGATGACCCACAGATACAGTATCAAGACTTGACTTGTGTTGCGCTAGAGATACAGTCTTCAGACTTAACATGTATTGTACCAGAGATACAGTCTCCAGACTTAACATGTATTTTACCAGAGATACAGTCTCCAAGATTTAACTTGTATTGTTCCCCAGATGAAGTCTCAAGATTTAACTTGTGTTGTACCAGAGACACAGTCTCAAGACTTTTAACTTGTGTTGTACCAGAGATACATTCTCAAGACTTAGCTTGTGTTGTACCACAGATAAAGTCTCAAGACTTAACCTGTGTTATACCACAGATACAGTCTTCAGACTTAACTTGTGTTGTGCCAGAGATACAGTCTTTAAATTTAACTTGTACCAGGGATGCAATCTCAAGACTTAATTTTTGTTGTACCAGGGATACAGACTCAAAGACTTGTGTTGTACCAGAAATACTGTCTCAAGCCTTGTGTTGTACCAGAGATACAATCTTCACACTTGTTTCATAAGTTTCTTTCTCATATTGTGCCGTTTTATTCTTTATTATCTTCTGTATGTGTTAATATGTTGTGGTTGTTTGGCAGGTGGTGGTGATGGTGGTGGCGGTGGTGTGGATGGTCCATGCCACAGAAGTTAACACAGCAGATACGACTGAGACACCAGTGACTCTCGCAAAAGAGACTGGAGAGAAGTTGACTGTGGAAGCGGAGACTGGAGAGCCGGTGACTGGTACATCAGAGACTGAGACGCCTGCTGAAGAACCAGAGGAAGAATCAAAGCGGGACAAGAGGCAGTTCTTTCCTTTCTACGATCCCTTTTATGGCGGTCCTGCCTACTGGCCTCCTCCTTATCCTGGGTGGCGCAGACAGCAGTTTAATGGGAGACTACGCAGTGGTATGGATCTGCCAGATGTTGTGGACACTTCGAGTTTTCTAAGCAGCGCACCACGCGCTGATCCCTACCTCTACAGGCCCGGATGGTACCCATATTATTTCCAATCCAGACCTCCAACCCCATACTATGCTCCAGACTTTCATTATGGACAAGACTGTGTTTACCCATTCCCTCATAGTCATTGCAGGGTCACCAACACAGCTTGGAGCTCCTGGGAGTGGAAGACAGGACATACCTTCTGGAGCAGCAACACAACCTGGATCTCCAGCATTTGGAGGGCAGGGGATACCTTCTGGACCAGCAACACAACCCGGATCTCCAGCATTTGGAGGACAAGGGATACCTTCCGGACCAGCAACACAACCTGCATCTCCAGCATTTGGAGGACAGGGAATACCTTCTGGACCAGCAACACAACCCGGATCTCCAGCATTTGGAGGACAGGGATACCTTCTGGACCAGCAACACAACCCGGATCTCCAGCATTTGGAGGGCAGGGGATACCTTCCAGACCAGCAACACAACCTGGATCTCCAGCATTTGGAGACAGGGGATACCTTCGGGACCAGCAGCACAACCTGGATCTCCAGTACTTGTAGGACAAGCCATGCCTTCGGATTCCACCTTCCCGTCCGACTTTTCATTCATACACAGAGACACAGGAACCGTTCCAGACTCCCAACCTGGAGCATCTTCTTTCGCAGGTTCCTTCCCGAGTCACCCTCCTGGACCAGCAGAATTTGGACCTGGACAAGACAGCTTCCAGGACAGTAGTCACCCTGCTGTAGGAACCCAATTTGGAGGTGAAGTTAGCACCTTTGGAACAGGACCTGGGGCATCACCCACTGGTTCATTTGGCGAACCAGGCATGGGCGCAGGAGGTGGTTCATTTGGTCCAGGAAGTAGTTCATTTGGCGAACCAGGTATGGGCCCAGAAGTGGTTCCTTTGGCGACCCAGGTATAGGCCTAGGAAGTGGTTCATTTGGGGAACCAGAATAGGCGGAGCCGGTGGCTTAATTAGCGAGCCCGGAATAGGTGGTTCATTTGGCGATCCAGGCATGGGCGCAGGAAGTGGTTCGTTGGCCCAGGAAGTAGTTCATTTGGCGAACCAGGTATACCCCCAGGAAGTGGTTCCTTTGGCGATCCAGGTATGGGCCCAGGAAGTGGTTCATTTGGCGAACCAGGTATGGGCCCAGGAAGTGGTTCCTTTGGCGATCCAAGTATGGGCCCAGAAGTAGTTCATTGGCCCAGGAAGCAGTTCATTTGGCGAACCAGGTATGGGCCTAGGAAGTGGTTCCTTTGGTGATCCGGGTATGGGCCCAGGAAGTGGTTCATTTGGCGAACCAGGTATGGGCCCAGGAAGTGGTTCCTTTGGCGATCCCAAGTATGGGCCCAGAAGTGCTTCATTTGGCCCAGGAAGTAGTTCATTTGGCGAACCAGGTTTGGGCCCAGGAAGTGGTTCCTTTGGCGATCCAAGTATGGGCCCAGGAAGTGGTTCATTTGGCCCAGGAAGCATTCATTTGGCGATCCAAGTATGGGCCCAGGAAGTGGTTTCATTTGGCCCAGGAAGCAGTTCATTTGGGGATCCAAGTATGGGCGCAGGAAGTGGTTCATTTGGTGCAGAAACCGGCTCATTTGGTGAAGGAAGTGGTTCATTGGGTGCAGAAACCGGTTCATTTGGTGGAAGAAACCGGTTCATTTGGTGGAGGAAGTGTTTCAATAAGTCAAGGAAGTGATTCATTTGATGCAGAAACCGGTTCATTAGTTTGGAGGGAACCGGTTCATTTGGTGAAGGAAGTGTGTCAATAAGTCAAGGAAGTGATTCATTTGGTGGAGGAAGTGGTTCATTTGGTGCAGAAACCGGTTCATTTGGTGCAGAAACCGGCTCATTTGGTGAAGGAAGTGGTTCATTGGGTGCAGAAACCGGTTCATTTGGTGGAGAAACCGGTTCATTTGGTGGAGGAAGTGTTTCAATAAGTCAAGGAAGTGATTCATTTGGTGCAGAAACCGGTTCATTAGGTGGAGGAACCGGTTCATTTGGTGGAGGAAGTGTTTCAATAAGTCAAGGAAGTGATTCATTTGGTGGAGGAAGTGGTTCATTTGGTGCAGAAACCGGTTCATTAGGTGGAGGAACCGGTTCATTTGGTGGAGGAAGTGTTTCAATAAGTCAAGGAAGTGATTCATTTGGTGGAGGAAGTGGTTCATTAGGTGGGGAAACCGGTTCATTTGATGGAGGAAGTGTTTCAATAAGTCAAGGAAGTGATTCATTTGGTGGAGAAACCGGTTCATTAGGTGGAGGAACTGGTTCATTTGGTGGACAAAGTGGTTCATTTGGGGGAGAAACTGGTTCATTTGGTGGAGGAAGTGGATCATTTGGTGGAGAAACCGGTTCATTAGGTGGAGGAACTGGTTCATTTGGTGGACAAAGTGGTTCATTTGGGGGAGAAACTGGTTCATTTGGTGGAGGAAGTGGATCATTTGGTGGAGAAACCGGTTCATTTGGTGGAACTGGTTCGTTTGGCGAATCAAACATCCCTCTTGCCTTCGGAAGTGCAACTCCCGACTCCAGCTTTGGATCAGAGTCTTTAGGTAATCTTGAATCTGGCGTGAGCTCGTTCTCAAGCAACAGCTTACCCTTTGCAGGCAACGCCCTGCGTGGGTCAGGCAGCTTCTCCAGCTCTGTTACTTTAGATGCTCCTGGCTTTGGTAGCGACGTTAAAGTCCGTGATACCCAAGAGGCAAGTAAAAAGAGTGAGGAAGGTAAAACAACTGCGGATGCTAATATCATTCCTTGAGTCGTTTCCTTAACTCTTACCTAGCATAATTGATCAATAAATCACATGGATCATTTCTTGTGTATTACTATTTTCACTGAGTACTGCTTGTAATCACCTATATGTGGTTGTAGGGGGTCGAATCACAGCTCCTTTGTGTGTGTGTGTTTGTGTGTATATATATATAAATTGTGTCATCAACAATAATAAAAAATATTTTCATTGATTTTACATGATAGGGCAATTTTAAATATATCCATGTTTAACTATATTAGTAGCTGTTATTTTTTTATCCTCTCACTGAAGATTATTAGTAATGCTGTATTCTTGGGGAAGCGCTAAACCCATGGCCTGATGGCAAAAGCTCTCGCTTCACATGGTGAGGGCCCGGTTCAATTCCCAGCAAGGGTAGAAACATTGGGCGTGTTTTCTTACATCGGTTGTCTGTGTTCCCATCAGTAAAGTGGATATCTGGGTGTTAGTCGACTGGTGTGGGTCGCATCCTGGGACAAAATTGACCTAATTTGCCCGAAATGCTCATCAGATTTAGCGACTTTCTGTATAGTAGTATGTCATTGATGTCAGCTAGTTCTGTATACCCTGTACATGTACTTGTAAAAATAAAGATATTATTATTCCTTCCACTACAGATTCATATACTCTCCAAGTCATCCTATTTTGTTCCATCCTCTCCAAATGTCCAAACTACTTCGGCAACCCCTCCTAAGCCCTCTGGATAATACTTTTAGTAACCCACACCTCTTAATTTCCAAACTATAGATTCTCAGCATTATAATTCGCACTGCACATTACCTTCACACACAACATTTCCACTGCCTCCAGCCTTCTCCTTGTTGCAACATTCACCATCCATGCATCACACCCATATATAGTAATAGTGTCAATATATATTAATTAATAAGACATTTTGTGACCCAGTTCTAGAATAGTTTCGATTAGTTGCATTTTGTTTTTATGAGACTTCTCACATGGGGGGATTGTGGAGAATTTCTGTATCAGTTTGTAATTCTTTTCAAGCAGCTTTTTCCATATTTTTTTCGACGTGCTGCCCATCTCCCTCAGAGGCAGGGTGGCCCAAAGAAGAAAGAAACACTTTAACCATCATTCAACACTTTCACCATCATTCACATATAATCACTGTCATAGCAGAGGTGTACAGATATGACAGTTCAGATGTCACTCCAAACAGCAAATATATATCCCAAACCCCTTCTTTAAAGTGCAGGCATTTCTCATATTTTGTTTAAATTTTTTTTTTTTTTATTATCACACTTGCACACGAAAATCACTCACTACGAAAGCAAAAGACTTGGCAGACGATGCACCATCCCCCCAATGAAAAGCAGGGGTGTCACTAGCACGTTAAGAGACCATACAATAAGTGTCAGGGGCCCGAGACTGTTCAACTGCCTCCCAGCACACATAAGGGGGATTACCAACAGACCCCTGGCAGTCTTCAAGCTGGCACTGGACAAGCACCTAAAGTCAGTTCCTGATCAGCCGGGCTGTGGCTCGTACGTTGGTTTGCGTGCAGCCAGCAGCAACAGCCTGGTTGATCAGGCGCTGATCCACCAGGAGGCCTGGTCACAGACCGGGCCGCGGGGGCGTTGACCCCCGAAACTCTCTCCAGGTAAACTCCAGGTAAACACTGGCCGATTCCCACCAAGGCAGGGTGGCCCGAAAAAGAAAAACTTTCACCATCATTCACTCCATCACTGTCTTGCCAGAAGGGTGCTTTACACTACAGTTTTTAAACTGCAACATTAACACCCCTCCTTCAGAGTGCAGACACTGTACTTCCCATCTACAGGACTCAAGTCCGGCCTGCCGGTTTCCCTGAACCCCTTCATAAATGTTACTTTGCTCACACTCCAACAGCACGTCAAGTATTAAAAACCATTCGTCTCCATTCACTCCTATCAAACACGCTCACGCACGCCTGCTGGAAGTCCAAGCCCCTCGCACACAAAACCTCCCTTTATAACCCCCTCCCTCCAACCTTTCCTAGGCCAACCCCTACCCCGCCTTCCTTCCACTACAGACTGATACACTCTTGAAGTCATTCTGTTTCGCTCCATTCTCTCTACATGTCCGAACCACCTCAACAACCCTTCCTCAGCCCTATGGACAACAGTTTTGGTAATCCCGCACCTCCTCCTAACTTCCAAACTACGAATTCTCTGCATTATATTCACACCACACATTGCCCTCAGACATGACATCTCCACTGCCTCCAGCCTTCTCCTCGCTGCAACATTCATCACCCATGCTTCACACCCATATAAGAGTGTTGGTAAAACTATACTCTCATACATTCCCCTCTTTGCCTCCAAGGACAAAGTTCTTTGTCTCCACAGACTCCTAAGTGCACCACTCGCCCTTTTCCCCTCATCAATTCTATGATTCACCTCATCCTTCATAGACCCATCCGCTGACACGTCCACTCCCAAATATCTGAATACATTCACCTCCTCCATACTCTCTCCCTCCAATCTGATATCCAATCTTTCATCACCTAATATTTTTGTTATCCTCATAACCTTACTCTTTCCTGTATTCACTTTTAATTTTCTTCTTTTGCACACCCTACCAAATTCATCCACCAACCTCTGCAACTTCTCTTCAGAATCACCCAAGATCACAGTGTCATCAGCAAAGAGCAACTGTGACAACTCCACTTTATGTGTGATTCTTTATCTTTTAACTCCACGCCTCTTGTCAAAACCCTCGCATTTACTTCTCTTACAACCCCATCTATAAATATATTAAACAACCACGGTGACATCACACATCCTTGTCTAAGGCCTACTTTTACTGGGAAATAATTTCCCTCTTTCCTATGTACTCTAACTTGACCCTCACTATCCTCGTAATAACTCTTCACTGCTTTCAGTAACCTACCTCCTACACCACACACCTGCAACATCTGCCACATTGCCCCCCTATCCACCCTGTCCATACGCCTTTTCCAAATCCATAAATGCCACAAAGACCTCTTTAGCCTTATCTAAATACTGTTCACTTATATGTTTCACTGTAAACACCTGGTCCACACACCCCCTACCTTTCCTAAAGCCTCCTTGTTCATCTGCTATCCTATTCTCAGTCTTACTTTTAATTCTTTCAATAATAACTCTACCATACACTTTACCAGGTATACTCAACAGACTTATCCCCCTATAATTTTTGCACTCTTTTGTCCCCTTTGCCTTTATACAAAGGAACTATGCATGCTCTCTGCCAATCCCTAGGTACCTTACCCTCTTCCATACATTTATTAAATAATTGCACCAACCACTCCAAAACTATATCCCCACCTGCTTTTAACATTTCTATCTTTATCCCATCAATCCCAGCTGCCTTACCCCCTTTCATTTTACCTACTGCCTCACGAACTTCCCCCACACTCACAACTGGCTCTTCC